CCTATGTTCTTGACCTTAGTGCCCTGGTAATTATCCTTTCCCAGATGGAGAGAGTCTCTAGTATCCCACTTAACTTTCTATACCTTCTGCATCTGGCTGGCTGTGTTTCTGTGCTGGGTGTCTGTATTTGTACGGCGAGTAGTAAGTCGATACTTCTTGAACCTCCCCTTTGTGCTTCCTCCGTCATTACCCCTAAAGCATACAATCACGATCATTTCTTCCACATGGGTATGTGCCTTGCTAAGTTCTTGTGTGTAATATGGCATGTAGATTCCTCCTCTCCTGCCCCCTCAATGGTTTCCAGCTCCTGGCAGAAGGGAAGCCCTCCACCCTGCATCACATAGTCTCTCCACCCTGATGTTCAGGTTTCTATTCTATCTGCTCCTGTGTTCCCTGCTAAACAATGAACCAGTAAACATCACCTTTCTGTTCTTAGTCTCCCCTGTGGAGTATTCAACTATTTTCTTTAACCTTACCCACCACCAGCAGCGTTCCCCCATCAGCGTGAACCCTGACCTCATCTTGTTGCATCCTTAGTAAGGCATTTCTGGGACTCCACTAATTACCAACTGGCTGTGTCTCTGAAATCCCTCCTTCCAAGCACTTTGAACTTGTCCTCAACCTCTCCATTACCATGGATAAGCTGTCAAGAGCAGGATCTCTGTATTCCAGAACAGGACTCCAGAGCAGCTGAAATAGAGCCAGCCCAGAGCCCAGCCCCAGGGCATGCTAGGACAGGGCCATATGGGACTTTGTTGGCTTTGTGTAGACCTTCAGCCAAGCTGGAGATGTTCAGTAAAGCTGCTAGTTCTTTACCTTGATACTCAGCCTTGGTGTATTAACTTTTAACGTTTCTAGTAACCTGGCACACAGCCATTAGTTTAACTATAATCTGTGATTAGCTCACACCTTGTCTTTCCTCATCAGAGCTTCCCCCCCTGCGATGTGATGTCCTGCACCCGGAAAACTCTTGCATTTGAATTCATGACAACACACCCCTTCCCTCCACCTGCACACCAGTCCCTAGGAACCTCCTCTCCTGTCCTCTGAGATTTCTGGGGAGCCGTTTGTGAATGTGGGCTGGTTCCTCTTTACTCGTCACTGCATTTATCAGGCACCCTGGAACTAGTAAAATAGAGATTCAGTGTAAAAGCTGTCTAGCTAGATCTCCCTTAGAGTCAATGGGAGCAATGCTAGGCCAATGCTGAGTGCTTCTGAAAATCCTACCCTAAATGGGCATTTTTTCTACTGTACCCTTAATGACCCACTAGTCTAGCTACCCCCTATACCCCCTTTTTACTCTAGGCATAGATGCTCGCCTTCCCGTCACATGGAAGAGTGTCTTCCTTCTGATGGCTGCTTCCACTCAGCCAAGTTCCTAGTAGACAGGAATCCACCATTGCAATAGAAACAGTGAGACGACAGACATCTCTTGAGTCTCCATGTCCAGTCAACCTTTGGACTCTATAGTAAGCTGTGCTCTCACCCCTACAGCTTATTCTTCCATGTCAGGGAAGAGGAACATTGGTGGGGTGGGGTGGGGTGGAGAAGCTTGCTCAGCTGCAGCCCCTGCCCCTGTTCTATGGTGAAAGGCCGAGTTTGAATCTCCATGACATCAGCACTGCAATCGCTTGCGTTTTAGAAAGAGCCTTTCCTCCTTCCCGCATGCTCCTGGACTGTAGCCAGCTGAGTCTCCATGCTCCATGTAAGCAGGTGAGCAAGGGCCTGGTTCTCCCCACCGCTGGAGAGGGCATTTCTCTGGGAATTGCCAGAGGACATCTGCCTCACCCGGAGACTAGCCTTGTCACCTAGTAACCCATTGCAGCCAGCTCTGAAGAGGCATTTATTTAGTTCCTAGCCCGCTGTACTTCACCTTTACCAGGCCTGTCATTTCACTTTGGTGGCCTCCCTCGAGGATTGTTCCTTTCCCGAGGCTGCTTTGGGGTTAGTTTGGCTTGCTTATAGTGAATGTGGAAGATACAACACAAGCCAGTACTTTTCCATGGGAGGGGAAGAGAGAAAGGGGCATATGCAATGCTTAATTTGTGCCAGGGCTTGGCAGTTCAGAGCCAGGCACCTCTGGGCTTGGCAGTTCAGAGCCAGGCACCTCTGGGCTTGGCAGTTCACAGCCAGGCACCTCTGGGCTTGCCGCATCAGTTATGAATATAAAAAAATTGCTTGAGCCCCGGTACCTCTTTCATTACCAATTAAGCACTAGACAGATGCAGTGTTGGGATGGAACTACTGGCCCAGCGCTCCAGCATTAGGCTTTGTCCTGGTTCAACTGAGTATTAAATTGGACACAAAGGATTTGGGCCTCCTGTCCCCCTGTTGCAGGGAGGTTGGACGCTTGGATAGAATGGTTTAATTGTGTACATTCCTCTTCTGTGACTGTTCCCACCCAACGCTCTTGACTGAACGATTTGATCTCTGTTGCTGCTTCCGGGCCTGCCTGATTGTGAAATACGAAAGGGGAAAAAAAGACATTTTCACTGCCACCATCCAGTTATTTGTGAAGGGCTAAAGCAAACTCCCCCTGGGGGCCCTGGCCCAGGTATGCCTACGTAGCATTTTGGGGCGAGCAGGAGCAAGCCTCCCAGCCTGGGTCCACAGATTGGGGCTAGTGCGGTAAAGGAAACTGCAGATAGTGCTTTGAAGTTGCAGCTCGCTCTGGAGCTTGGTCTCTGAAGCCTAGATAGGGAAGGGTCGAGCGAAAACAACATCCCTTCCCTGTGCTGGGGACAGACACTCCCAGGCATAAATGCAGTATACGTGTGGCATGTAAGGGGTAAGTGACAGCAAACAGGAGAGTGAGGAGAGAGGTTCTGGGCTATATTTCAAGCTGTTCCTTGTATAGGCTTTTCTGTCTTGCTCTTCCCCACCCTCCACTATGTTCTCAGACGTAAATATTCTTTAATAGTGGTTTTGTTGTATGTCTCATTTTAAAAGGATACTGCCGAGTATAGGTAGAACCTAGCTTTGAACTATCTTCCCCCCCCCCGTTTGCCAAGTGCCTCTAATTTCTTATATAACATACAAATGTTGTGGTGCTGTCTCGTTTTATAACTATTGGGGTGCTGAGCCTTTGACTGATTGAATGCAAATAAACAAGATGGTACAACTTGCGTTTGATATGTTTAACTTGAGAATAAAACGTTCAATAAACAGTATTGGAAATTCATCAGATCGAGCAGATATCCCGCCCTTTCTAGAGCAGTCATGTCACCTAGGCTGATGTGATACATCAAGATCCCTCTGTCCTGCCAAAGCGTACGCACATGCTGAACTTCCTGCGCAGTAAATAGCCCCACTGAAGTAGGGTGACCAGATGTCCCGGTTTTATAGGGACAGTCCTGTTTTTGGGGACTTTTTCTTATATAGGTGCCTATTACCCTCCACCCCCGTCCTGTTTTTTCACAGTTGCTATCTGGTCACCCTACACCAAGGTCACTTGGGCTACTCACTGTGCGTAAAGTTAAGCCCATGCAGGCTCGGGGCCACAAAGCACTGTTTGCCAGTATCACACATACAGAAAAGCATGTTGAATTATGATGACCTGTATTTTAGAGTGCTCACCAGAATAGTCTCTGACTGCTTCTACACTATATGCTTTTGTCCAGATGCAAAGTGTAAGATTCAGGGCAGGAGTTTGTGTGAAATTCTGTGTTATGCAAGAGATCAACTAGATTGCTCATAATGGTCTGTTCTGGTCTTGAAAATCTGTGGGTGAAATCAATGCGACTCCTGAGGGTTAGCTGTGAAATGTTGTTTTAAAATGTGATGTGCGCTATTGAATGGGGGGTAGAAATAGGAAGCAGGTGAAATTGCTGACGGAGCAAAAGCTCTATGTCTCCATGATCTCTCTGCTCTTAGGGAACTTGTCAAATGCCACTGTACTGCTATATATTGACTCAGGTTCGTTTTCTGTTGATATTGCATTTGGGTGCGAGGGAAATATTTGTGCACAAATGCAAGGGATAAGAGAAGCACTATGAAGCACCCCTAAAACACATTCCTGACTGAAATCAATAGGATTGCCCAGGGTGTAAATCGGGTCAGAATTTAGTTCATCTGTGTCACTGTGTGGTTAGATACTTTCACTAGATTTTAAGGCCAGAAAAGACCGTTGTGGTCATCCAATCTGACTTTCTGAATTGTACGAGCTGCGGAATTCTACCCAGGGACTCCTGCGTTCCGTCCAGCACTTTGCGATTGAACTCGAGCATATCCTTTAGAAAGACATCTGAGGATCTGTGTTTGTAAAGCAGCTGCTGTATAAAAACAACTTTGGGCAATGCCAAGGCAGTTCTCGTCCACCAATCGGGAGAACAGAGTGTTGGTAACATTGTGAACTTCTCTGTCGGAAGCAGCTAAGCTAACTCTTAGCTCTAGTCAGTTCCTCTGGTAACCAGGGTGCAGAGAGGCACAATCAGGCTTTCTCTGTTCTTTTGTTCACACACGGCAAGTCCTGACTTTGGATTTGGGCAGAGAACTGCTTCCTGGTCAATGTAAAGTTACCCTCAGATCCTTTCCAGTCTATCTACTGTAAGTCTTGCAGTTTTCAGCCTTCAAACTCCCAGGGTACTGGAAGTAGGTCTTGGCCAATCTGCCATTTTAATATGCTCTCCCCTGCCCCGTAGCTTTTCAGGTGGCAGCGTTGCCCGGTGTGGGAGAGAGACTTTGTTTTCTGTTTGTTTGTTACCCAGCGTTTATTGATGCTCGTGGTTACACTTTGGAGTAGCTTCTTCAGAGATCCTGACTGGCTCCCAACCTAGTATACCTGGTTGGGATCAAAAACTCCCTCCCCCTGCCTGTGCGGAGCCCAGCAGGGCACACCGCCATCAGCCTGCACTCAGGGTTGGAGGACGTCCTCACTACAGAGAGGAGCAAACTCATCAGAGCCCTCCTGTCTCAGTTAATCAGTGTTTTACTGAGTTTGCTTTGGTGATCACAACTGACTTTCAGGGGCGGGGGGGTTGTTTTGTTTTTCTCCAATGCAGCTCTAACTGTGAGATTCATCACCAAGAGATTCATTGGGGATTATGACCCTACTCTAGGTAAGCAAGTATTTATTATTATTATTATTTTATTAACAACATTATTATTTGTGTTACAGTGGGGCTGAGGGACTCCATTGTGCTAGGTGCTGTACAAAGAGTAGTAACTGCTCTATTAAATGTAGGCTTAGTAATCTGGAAGCAGTTTGGCCTCGGGGTTGTTTTTTGGGGAGAGAGACTTTCAGCGCACAGAGCCAAAAGGGCCAAGTGATTTCCAATGCCCTCGTATTTTGGTGTGTCCAATCTGAGCAGCCCTCCTTCTGAAGATCCTGCCCATTGAATGGTGTGTCAGGTTGGGCACCCAAAAACCACTAGTCACTGTAAATGGAGGTCATTATGTTGAGTCCATGTTATTCACTGGACTGTGTTTTCATGTGCAAGCGCAGGGTTTTTTGGTGGGTGGCAGGTGTGCTGGAAATTCCTCAGCCTTGCGGCATTTCATTGAAGAAATGGGTGATCCCTAGTGGAAAACTCAGATAAAACAACCCTGCTAATTCCCTGTCCGTCCTGTACTTTCTTGAGTTTGATTCCCACATTCATTAGGACTGGAGATGTTTAGTACAAAAGTAAATATGTTTTCCTTTGGGAGTTCCTCTCTGCCTTCTGCTTATTCCCTCACTTGGAGTTGCTCTCTGTAATGTTACCAAATATTTAAACAGTGCTGTAAATATACCTGGTGCTGCAGAGAATGTGGCTGGTTCCCTATCCCAAAGATCTTACAGTCCAAATGAGACAGGAGAAACGGGGCAGGAGAGGGTCAGTGTGCTAGAAAGTCTGAGACTTAGAGAAAGGAATAGGGGACAAAGGGAAATGAGGACGACTGGGAAGAACAGAGGGACCTAGGGGGATTGAGAGCAGAGGTGTAAATGGGGGTGAGATTTAACAAAGCTTAAAGGTGAGGATGAAGTCGAGTTTTGTGCAGAACCAGTGGAGGGATTCAAGGACGGGAGCAGGTGGGCTGGGAGGGAAGATGGCTTTAGCAGTTGTGTGAACAGACTTGGGCAGCCAGAGGAAAAGGTTACAGGCCCTGGGGCAGGGTCAAAGACCAACAGCTGCGATGTCACAAACCAGAAAATGACACCAACAAATGGGAAATAATGCTCAGCCTTGATAGCACTTTACAGACATTAATTAATGTCCACAACACCCTGTCACAAGGTACGTAGGCAAGTCTTATCCCAATGATCAATGGCAGAAGCAGGAATAGCATTCAAAGCCAAGATTTTCAAAACTTGGTGCCTAAAGGTAGACCCCTAGATCTGTAGTCTCCTAAATAAGAGCCTGATTTTCAAAAGTCCCAAGTATCCAGCAGCACCCATGACACTTGTGTTCCTGAGTCCACCCTGTGATCCATCCACTGGACCATGCTGTCTCTTGGAATCAGAAGCAAGAAGATATAGACTCTGGAGGGGCAAAGATCCTGTTTTCATACACATTTCTATTAAAGCATGGGGAAGAGAAATCCTGGAGATCTTTCTCCCTCTCCCTCTCCTTCTCTGCAGAGTTGTTGCTAAGCAGAATGTTGTGGGATTTATTTCCTGGAGATATTAGTGAGGCTTTAAGCCTTTCACTCCATATATTATGTCGAAAGAACAGTACAGATACAAGCATCAGTGCAACTTTTATCTCTTGTTTAGAAAAGCAAGATCTCCTCCTGTCCTATTTGTGTGTAATATGAGCCGGAATGTAGGCAAGCTAAAGGGTGTGGATTAGCAGCGTCAGTGGGGCTGACAAGCAGTATTAAAATACATTATTTTTAAGAATAGCTTGAAAGGACTCTTATAGCTTTTAAGTCCCTCTTTGTTGGTTATGAAATCACCCTCACTCTCTACCAATCCCTTGTGTTCCTAGCATTCTGCAACCACTGATCGCTGCTGTCTCTCCCACCCTTGCACTGCCAATGGCACAAAGGCTGCTGATGTGGCTTGGATTTTTTGTTTTTTTCTTTACTTCCTTGTCTGTGTCCCTGGCTCAATGGCCTTCATATGAGGCCAGGGCCACATATGGGGCTAGTTTGGGGCAGATGGGATTCACCTCCAGAGGACTTAAAATCACCACAGCAATCTCACGTGGATGGTTCAACTTTCCATTTGCTGAAAATGGAAAAAAATTCAGTGCAGATAGTTCTCCCACTGCCATCCCAAGCTGCACCAGTCCTTGCAGAAAAATTACCCAGAATGCAGCACACCAGGGAGCAGTGCTGGGAACCCTGGGACCCATACCCAGAAGGTGGCATATCACATCCAATACAAAACAGTGCCACTGTGGATGTAAGGCAAAACCTTCCAACAGTGCTGCGCTTACAGTGTAGACAAACGCAATAGGAGTTAGATTAGTTGGATTATAGACACAAATTGATATGACTCTCTGATGTAGTCAGGGCTTTGGGGGGCGAGGGCATTGACAGGTGGGCATAAAGGAATGAGATTTGAATGAGATGCTTCTGTGCTCCCGTGGCTGTTACTGAAGATACCTGTGTTTGCTGAATAAGAGCTTTTCTCCCTTAAGAGCCAGGGCTGCTTGATCCTGTAGTGACATCACTGTCCTGTCTGTGTGGCATTATAATTGTTTGTCATGGAATTAGCTGTGACAACAGAAATCTAGCCTTTTGACTTCCCCGGAGCATGGGGTGAAGGGTTGGGGGCAAAGGTGGGTTGCATGGGAGAAAACAGTCTTTAAAACACAGATTTCTTTGACAAATAGGAAAAGGAGCTAGGAAAGTGTTGCCAGAACACATGCCACACACAGATTTATGTATAAAAAGCTTGTACAGGATATGCAAGTCCCTTCCTCTGATCCAACATGCTCTGTTATCATCTTCTAGATCTCAGACAACAGAGGGATGCCCTTGGGTGAAGATGAACTAATAAGACTTGTCAGAACCTACTTACGCCAAACTCAGGGGAGGTTTGGGCATTGGATATGAGAACAATGTGTGGAAGGAAAGATGGCAGCTTTTTGCACTGTTCACTGTGAACTTCTGTGTGTCATGCTTTCTGTAGATGAGAAGACTGCGCTCTGACAGTGTCTCCTTTAAGAGAGGTTCTGACCCTGTTCCCTTTTGAAGTCACTGGCAAAGTCCCCATTAGCTTTGGGGGCACCAAGAATGGCTCAGAGTCTGCCTGTTCGGTTTGGTGCATCAAGCAGTTACTGTGTCATGGGAAGGGTGGTGACTCTTTTCAGTGATCAGGGAGTTTCTGAGTCCCCCTTTTGTGTTATCTGTGCCTTCTCCTTTAGCATGCTCTTCACCTGGCTGTGCGGAGTGGAATCCACCCGTGCTCTGCGCAGAGATCAGGGAGTTCTCACGCATCTTTGTTTCCTACAGAAATGATTTACAGACACACGGCTGTCATCGATGGGGAGATGGTGCACTTTGAGATTCTCGACACAGCAGGACAGGTACGGTCACGGTCACTGCTTCATGGGCAACCGATGTCAGAAAATACTAACCAGAAAATGGTCCCAAGGGTGGAGCGTTGTCTTTTCAGTCTGTGGTGGTGGTATTGGCCCCAGGCGTGCGTTAGGACAGGTGGATTGCAGCTGGGAAAGTGCTGTGGCTGCCCTGAGAGGTAGTCGGTGGACATCCCTGTGTTCCGAGGCTTGACCAGTTAGTGTTGGCACTTGCTGGATGGTCACTTGAGTGGTCCCAGCAAAGGCCATCTGACAGGAGCAGGGTGGCAGGGAGGGGCACTTTGGCTGGAACAGCGTAGGAAGCCAGCAGCAGTGGAAGAAGGGTGAGGAAAGCAGCACTTATGCTAGACAAAGATCCAGGACTCGCCCCCATGTGTGAAATATTGCATGGTGAGGCTGTGACTCCATCTTGGGGCATGGGAGAGGGATGCTCTGGGGGACTCCAGCTTTGCTTTTGTGCTTTCTGATCTCACCAGGACTCCTTGATGGGATTTCAGCCACATAATTTGTAGTTGCCCATTGATTCTCTCTCTCTCTCACTCTCACTCTCTTTTCCTTTGCTGCGTACAACACAGCCCCATTTTATCAGCAGTGTTTGGGAATATGCAAGACCCACAGATGAAGAGAAGAGTGATCCCCTGTGCTGAGGGCTACCTAAGACCAATCTGTCTACATTTATCCAGATATACTTGCACAGGTTAAATTCAAGCCAAGGGAGCCACTTTAACCCAACCTCCTGACCCCGCTGGGCATTGCTGCTGTTTTTAACAGCACACTGTAAATGTACATTGTGCTTTACAGGACATACGAGAAGCCCCCTATCTGTGCCAGGCAACAGCTCAGCTGCAGCAGAGGTGGAGTTGAAAGGACAGAGGGGGGGCCCTCTGGCTGGCCAGTGGTGGAAGGCTGCTCTGAATACAGAGCAAAGGAAGGGGGGAAGCCGGAGAGTGGGCAAAGGAGACCGAGGAGGCAGCAACACTAAGTGATTTTGAGGAGTGCAGAGAGGAAGAGGAAATAGCAGTGGAGTTGTGGGCGGGAGTGAGATTATGCAGGGCCCTGACGGGGAGGACAAGGACCTTGAACTCGATGTGGTAAAGGGCAGGAAGCCAGTGCAGGGGCTGGGGAGGAGGAAGGCGACGTGGTCAGAGCAGTGGGTGAGGAAGGTGGCTTGGGGCCTGACCCAAAGTCCCCAGACATGAAAGGGAGTCTTTCCGGTGACGTCAGTGGGCTTGGCTCAAGCCCTGTAGCAGCAGTGTTGTGGCTAGACGAGGGAGGATGAAAACACAAGCCACACATAGAGCTTGAGGGACCGTGTGGCTGCGGAGCTAGAGTAAATGCAGGCACCGAGAACACACAAAGACTCTGATTTGCCAACAGCAGTGGAGGATTGTTTGCGATAGGCATGTTGCATTGTGATCATGTTTAGTTATTTCCTGTTAAGATGCCCAGCGGCTTTCTGGCGGGGCTGCCTGTCAATTAATGATTACTGCACAATGGCCTGCTGCCAATCAGATGTCACAAGCTAAGCTGGGTCACGGCTGGGTCAGTGCTTAGATGGTCAGCCTCCAGTGATGGCTCTGCAAGAGGTGGTGTCGGTGGCCCCTGGGCCTTGAATCAGTACTGATAGCCCAGAAAGGTATTACAGGGCACTGTGCTGCAGAGGATCTCTGCCTGAGGAGAGGAATGTCTGTGGTCCTACTGCCTGTGGTTGTTAAAGATCTCCTTCCTACACTTCCTACATAATCGGAGATGCTGCCCTGAGTACCTGGCCCAACTTCCAATTCGGATAATCTGCATCCCTACGTTACACCTGCAGTTCCAACTGGATGTGGCACCCAATTGCTGCCCCGAATTGTTGTGTGGTGTTGCTGTGTTGGTCAGCAGCTGCTGTGTTCCACTCCAGAGGCAGGCACCTTTCAGTGGTGTGTGAAACTACCCTCTATCTCTCTCTGTTTCCCTTGATGGGCCAGATCCTCAGCAGATATAAACTGGTATAGCTCCATAGGTTTCAAAGGAGTGAGGCCGATCTGCTCCAGAGGGTTGATCCTGCACCGTTGAGAGTTTTACCACTGACCCCAATGGGAGCAAAAGCAGGAGGTGGTCCAGTGTTGGTAAAACATTTTGAGCTCATTGCCTTGCGTGGTGATGCTGTGATTTCTGTTCTCCCCACCCTAGGAGGAAGACTCCTTGCAGATCGAGGAAAAGATCAAGTGGGGCGACGGCTTTGCCGTGGTGTACTCTGTGACTGACCGGTGCAGCTTCGACGAGGTCATGAGGCTGTGCTTCCTCATCAACCACATCCACTCCAGCCCCAAGAGGAGCGGCGGGAGTGACCAGCCGCCCGTGGTGATTGTTGGCAACAAGAAGGACCTGCAGTTTGACCGGATGGTGTCTTGTGAGGACGGTGAGAACCTCTCCAAAGCCCTGAAGCATCCTTTCTATGAGATCTCCACCAGGGACAGCTACGAAGAGACCGTGGTAGTGTTCAACACCCTGTATAACGAGCTGATGAGACAGGGGCACTTCTCCCCGGGCTCCTTCAAGAGGAGGGCCGTATCTAAGCTGATGGAAAAGATTCCAAAGATACATGCCAACTCCACCCTGAACGCAGGCGGCCGGAGCCTCAGCTTCAACTCCTTCAGGGACTACATACCGGAGTGAGCCCCTGCATGGGCAGGGTGTGGGAGAGAACAGTGCCCCAGAGCAGCCTGGATTGGCAATGGACAGGCTGCAGGCTGCTTACCTTCCTGGTCTAGAGAGTGCTGTATGTCACAAGGGTGGGTCCTTTCAGGCATCTGTATTCCAGGAAGGTCACAGTGCAGATCTGTGCTGGCTTCCAACAGAGAATTAGCAAGAGGTGCGTGGCTCAGTGGGGTTGGTGCATCAGCCATTCACCTGTAAAGCCCGGGGGTTTACTTCCTTGCTTAGGATCAGCAGTGAAAACTCATTTGGGAGGGTCTCCCTCCTCCTCCTCATCCCCATTCTGTGCACATCACAAACTGCCACCGAATTTAATACAGTTGGCAGGCTCCACTCAGGAGAGGCTTGGGGCCGCTGCAGGCTCGGACTGAGGTGCAGACCTTTTGTGGGTGCCAAGGCCATGGTTACCTGGGTCTGCTGCAGGGCAACATCGAGAGGCATTGGTGGAATTGGCAGGAAGCTTGCACAGCACATGCTGTCATTCTGCCTGGCTACTGATCACTCTGTTCCGTGAACACAACATCCACAATTTAGGCCAAATAGCGTACATTGGATTTGTCAAAGCAGGTCAGACCAAAGGTCCGGCCAGCCGTGTCTGCTGTCTTTACCGGTGGCCAACACTGGATGCTTTGCTTACATACAGTTGTTGGTGTATGGATGCCACTAACCAGGAAAGTAGCCAGATCCTGCTTCAGCAAACTTTTTCAAAGTGTTTCCAGCATTCCCTGCCCTCAGCCCATTTCCCACACTCACTTAGGACCTAATTCTGCACCCATCAAAACCAATGGCAAAGTTCTCATTGACTGCAGTGGTGCAGAATGAAGCCCTTAGTGCCTTGGAGGTCACACCATTGTGACCCACCAGCTTAGTTTGACTCTCCAAGACTTGCACACAAACACTCAGCACTGAATGTTTCACTCCACCTGCACTCTGCTCCCTTCAGAGTGCCATGTAGATCCCAGTGACTACTTTGATGGGCATGGGGAGCCTAGTGACACAGAGATCATGTGGCCATATAGAGAAAAGAGCCTTATTTCTGACCATCATAAATGTCTTAGATCTATGTTGTGACGAAGTGGGACTGTTCTTAATGTTTCCTCTGAATAGTGTGGGGGTGCCTCAGTTTCCCCTAGGCAGTTCTTAAGTATCTAGGGGGTGGAGTAAGGGTGTATGATCATTGCAGAGCCCTAGAGGGCATGTGTGTGCAGGAGTCTGGACACAGAGAATGGCTGACACCCTGTTTCCTGGCAACTGATGGCCTGGGCCCTTCCCCCCCTGCAAGGTGAGAGCTGAAGGGTTGGAGAACAAAGGAATCAGGTGACCACCTGGCCCGGGAAAGGAACAAAGCCCAGAGGAGGAGGGGCTGGAGGGGGTTTTTCAGTTTGGGGCTGGCTGGGACATGGAGTGAAGTGCAGACGTGGTTGTCTGGCTCACTGCCCCCCCCAAAATGGACCCAGCTGAGGGGTCCCGTTCTCTGCACCTGCAAGCTCTGTTTTAGACCATGTTCCTGTCATCTAATAAACCTTCTGTTTTACTGGCTGGCTGAGAGTCACGTCTGACTGCGAAGTTGGGGTGCAGGACCCTCTGGCTTCCCCAGGAGCCCCGCCTGAGTGGACTCGCTGTGGGAAGCGCACGGAGGGGCAGAGGATGCTGAATGCTCCGAGGTCAGACCCAGGAAGGTGGAAGCTGTGTGAGCTGCGTGTCCTGAAGACAGGCTGCTCACAGAAAGGCGACTGCCCCAGAGTCCTGACTGGCTTCATGGGGAGCAGTTCCAGAGCATCGCCCAGGGACTCCGTGACATATGTCTTTAGCTCGGATGATGGAGAAACTATCAAAGGACCTTGTTTTCCCTCTTACAGCTCTCCAGGCTTTTTATTCATTTTTTTACCCTGAGGAAAATAAATCAAGTGAGAAAAGAAGAACAAAGTCTGTATGAAAAGTGCCAGCCCCCAAATGGATTCAAAAATTAAAGGGGTGCCATCAGTTTGAAATTGAGTTGATTTCAAAATAAAATTAAAAGCAGTTTGGTGCCCTATCCTGCCTACCTGCCAATCTGGTTTTTCAATCCTATTTCTCTGTTAGTGTTTACAATTTTTGTCTCTCTCATGGCTGTCTGAAAGATTCACAGAAACCGGGAAAACTGATTAGCAGCTATACAGGAAACCAGTGAAACGGACTATGCACAAAGTGAAATAAACTGAGAAGACCGACACTTTCCTGGAATCTCTTTCACATGGAGTGTTCTTAGGTGTCACTTGTCACAATAATAAGGGACAACTTTGAGACAGAAATGGGATTTTCAAGTTGGCAATATTGCTGTGAGAGTTGCATGATGGGAATCCAGCCGTAGCTCTCCATAGGGCTGGGAGCAAGGCATTCTGATAGTAAGGTGTGTGTGCTACAAAGACACAGACAAAAGGAGACTTAATGGCTATGGGGATTGGAGCCCTACACTTCTAGGACATTGGTGTGACCTTCTCCCACCTGACCGCCAGCTGTGATGGGTAATAACCAAAAGGTTCCATTTGATTATGAGAGGAAGGATGGTCTAGTGGTTAGGGTGCTTGCCTAGGAGACGTAGGGTCAATGCCCTGCTCTGCTACAGACTGCGTGACTTTAAGCAAAAAGCTTAATCTCTCTGTGCCTCAGTGTCCCAACTGTGAAATGGAAATAATAGCACATTCCCTACCTCACATGGGCAATGTGAGGATGTTAAAGATGGTAAGATGCTCATATGCCCCAATAACGGGGGCCATATAAGTAGATAGATTTGATTTAAAAAAAAAAAAAAAAGATTTGCTGGCTGTTCAGTAGCCTGTTTGAGCTGTTGCAGTCCCAATGTTACCCACTCATTACTAGTGACACCTCGACTATAGAAAGCGAATGTTCTCTCTGCTTCGTTTTTCTGCATTTAAATGATAGCTGTCTCCCTTCCTGTCTGTCAGGCACTGACCGTGCGGCTTGCACTACAGGGAAATGTTTCATGTAAAAGAGAAAACCGTTTACAGTGGCATGGTTTTGAAAATATGCCTATTAATCCCAGGTTTTGTGAAACCTTTTTTGGCTTAAGCTACTTGAGAGCGTGCCCTTTAAATAGCCCAGTAAGTCACATCTTAGGCCAGGAAAGGCAACGATTTCAGATTTTATGTCCCACTTCAGCCTAAAAGAACCAGGCACATTTAATGTGGTGGGGCGGGTTGTGTTTTTTGTTGTGGTGGTGGTTGCTGCACTCTTTGCTGAATCTGTGCATCTTGTGTTCTTTGTCTCACTTTGGGTCCTCCAGCTCCTAGGGGAGGGGCATACAGGCTCTTTGCACATTCTTAATGAATCTAGCATTTGATTTTAATTTCCATATCACTTCTGATGAACAGAATATTTTTATGGGATCTGCAGCTGATGTCTCCAGACCTAGGCCCGTTGAGGGACTCTGTCAATCCAAGAGGATTTTTCATTTTAAACACCATCTGTTCCCTGCTGAATTTTCTTAGAAGCCAGAATGTGTGTACTCTCCTCTACTGCCAGTCACTGTAGAATGCATTTGAATTACTGCACATCACAAATCAAGGAGACTGCATTTCCCGTGAGACCCATACTGAAACCTGTGCTAACAATCGCCTGGTAACCCCACACATCGATCTTAGGAGCCAGTAAAATATTAATCTCTGTGGGGATTACTCCATCTTAATGGCATTGCTTTATAGCGTGGTTGAATAGTGAACAGAAGACTTAGACGTCCATTGGAAGAGGTTTCAGTGTATATGAGAAAGACCAAACATCTGGGCTGGTGATTCTAAATGTGGATTAAATGGAGCAGAGAGAGGAATCTGTTGATGCACAGAAGAACTGATTCTTTGTCTAGTTATTAATTGTCCCATCTTTGTAAAAGGTACCAGTTCAGACATGCTCACCGGGGAGCGAAATCTGCTATTGCAGTCTGTGTGGAGAGTTCTCTATGGTCACTGCCATGATGTATAGAATTTTTGTATTCTACTGACAAAACTGTTGTCTTCATGAACAAATGCCTCACTGGGGAGCAGACAACCATCGACACATGCTCGGCTTGCAGCTACCAATATCTCTTCTAGTGTCTTCACACATGGGGGCTTTCCAAAACATATTCCTGGCTTTCTAAACCATAGACATTAGAGACCAAAACTTCCTCTTGAGTCCCCTTCTCTCTATCCCCCCTGCGAGTATAGGACTGTTCCTTCCAGAATATAGCTTTGCTACGTGTGATGGATTTGCTAAAGGTCTGAGATGTAAATAACATGACTTGCGTTTCTCTCAAAGAAATAACCCTAGTCGACTGTTGAACTGTACACTAGCTGCATTCCGTTATAATAAAACTCAACTTGAACAACCTTGTCTGGTTTGCTGGGTAAAGCTTTGGCCATTGCCAGCCTGGGTTCTATCCTCTATAAGGGAAGAGCTTTACTTTGTCTCAGTAGCATGCATGCAATATTCTTTGCCGTCCCTATCCAGGGAGAGCGTGGCAGTGGTTGCTCTCTAAATGTTTGTAATAATATAACACACAGCTCATTTATTATAGAGCCCAAGTTGATGTCTCTTTGTTCTCGCTCCTCTAACCCAGAAATGGGCAGGTGTGAAATTCACCAGTGCCAGCCCCACACACAGGAAATCAATTCTTTTGGGATAACGTCTACTGGTTTCAATGTGTGATGCTGTTTCAATGCTTCAGCAGAAGGTGAAAATTGCCCCAGCGTCCCTGGAGCAGACCATTCTGGAGCGCAGACAAAAGAAGCCTTAATTTCTGCTGCTTTTACTTGTATAGGGTTTTCAGCAGACCAGATGACCCAGTTTGATAATTCACCCAGGGCTCTGTTCTTCTCTCATGCTATGTTTATAATACTTGCTGCCTTCAGTGTGAGTTTTTTCTGCAATAAGGAGAGGGAGGAAAGACCTTTGGGCCTCTGTCTTTCTAAAACTTTGTGAGCTGGATGCACGTAGCAAAATGGTGAGAAATGGGTACATTCGCCTAGACACAGCACCCTGCAGAATTAGACACATCTGTCTATCTAATCAAGGGGTTCTCAAACTGGGGGTCATGACCCCCCAGAGGGTCACAAGATTATTACATGGGGGGTTGCGAGCTGTCCGCCTCCACCCCCAAACCCCACTTTGCCACCAGTATTTATAATGGTGTTAAATACAAAAAAAGTGTTTTTAATTTATAAGGGGAGGTCGCACTTATAGGTTTGCTGTGTGAAAGGGGTCACCAATACAAAAGTTTGAGAAACACCGCTCTAATCCAAGGGCAATACCAAGTTAGATTAAGAACCTGATCTAGTACAGCAAATTCTCAGTTCCACCTGACAGGGGGAAGCTACAACAATTCCCCCACACTTCTAACTGTGCAATTATTGCAAGGCAAATATGTACAGTAACTCCTCACTTAATGTTGTAGGTATGTTCCTAAAAGATGTGACTTTAAACGCTGTTAAGCTAATCCAATTTCCCCATAAGAATTAATGTAAAGGCGGGGGGGGTTAGGTTCCAGGGAAATGTTTTTCACCAGACAAAAGACTATGTTGTATATATACATACACACACAATATGTTTTAAACAAACAATTTAATACTGGTACACAGCAATGATAATTGTGAGGCTTGGTTGAGGTGGTGGAGTCAGAGGGTGGGATATTTCCCAGGAAATGCCTTACTGCTAAATGATGAACTAGCAATTGGCTGAGCCCTCAAAGGTTAACTCGTTGTTAATGTAGCCTCACGCTCTACAAGGCAGCACAAATGGAGGGAGGGGAGACAGCATGGCAGACAGAAACACACACCCTGTGTGTGGGAGAGAGAGATGCGTGTTTCCCCTTTAAATATGCTGACCCCACTCTAAGTACACGGCCTTGTTAAGTAGATCAGCAAGCTTAGACCGCAGCTGCTGCCAGGAAGCTCCCTCCCTCCAGAGCCCTGTTGTGTGTCCCCCCTGCTTTATGGAAGATGGGGTAAGCGGAGAGCAGGGGGGACACCCTGACATTAGTCCTCCTGTCCTCTTCTCCCCCTCCCCCCCCCCTCGCAAGCAGGAGGCTCGGGAGCAGCTCCAAGGCAGAGGGCAGGAGTAGCACATGGCAGTGGGGGGGGGGGGGGGGGGGGGAGGACAGCTGAACTGCTGGCAATTGATAGCCTGGTCTGCAGCTGCCACACAGGGAACTTAGGGGAGCAGGGACCTGATAGGGGGGCTGCTGGCCCACCCTGGTTCCAAGCCCCCACCAGCCAGCTGCAACGGGCTGCTCTTCCTGGAAGCAGTGGACAAAGCAGGTGGCTGCCAAATGACATTAGAAGGGAGCATTGCACAACTTTAAACGAGCATGTTCTTTAATTGATCATCAATGAAACGACATTAACCGGGATGACTTTAAGTGAGGAGTTACTGTATACAATGAAATTCTGGGCAACTTCTCTTACACTTGAACACAGTCAGGGTGTGAAAGGATCCATGGAGTCATTTTTGATGTGTGTACATTTGAAGTGGGGACCCCTCTCTCCGCTCATTTTCATTGCCGTTATGGCTCTAGGGCTTTGGATTAGAAGGCCCTTCCTGAAGCTCCATCAGTAGGCGAGATCCTGCAGAAGACAGATACGAGAGAGTCATTCCTGCCTGCACCTTGCAAAGGAACAAGCCTCGAACTAAACACACAGTGAAGAGACCATATGACATTCCTGGGACACCCCCACTGTTAAATCAGTGCACAGCAATGCAGGTGAAGGACACTCTCCTCTCACTATCCCACTCTTGGGGGTCTGTGCCTTCCACCACGCCAAGCTGCCAGCATGCGGGAGACACTAGCTTGGCAACGTTGATCCTTAGCGCACTGAAGCAGAGCTCCAGAACTCTGAGGCCTGGACTGCCGGGCTCCTCCATTTCGCCCTCTCCTGCCATGAAAACGATGTCCCACAACAAAACCACCCCCACCCACAAAGCGCCTGAAGATGTCCCTCCGCCCGTCACCCAAGCCTCAGGCCACCTTCCTACTGCTCTCACCCAACAGTCCTACGTCCTGATAGGTGCAGATGCTTATGTATACCCCCCTATATATGCCTTCTTAAAAAATGTGACCCTTCTCCTCCCTGCAGGGAAATGGTAGCTGGTGAAGATGAGTCATCTTGTGGGTTTGGGCTAACAGAGACCGGGTTGGGGGCGTGATTCTGGAATTCTTCCCTCCCCCCAAGAGCCTTCTCTGGGCTCCACCTCCCAGCAGGCAGAAATCTTCCCAGGCACTGCTGGTCAGCCTCAAGCCCTGGACACCAGCCAGTTCTCAGCTGACAGCTGAAAAGCCGCTCAGTGCTTTACAGTGCATCGGTGGGGTGGGAGGGGAAATCCAGGACAGAAGTGGGCAAAAGTCAACTTTTCCTAAAGCCACACAAGAGCATCATTCCAGGAAGGTGCCAGTGACACAGACTGCCTGCCTCCAGCCCCAGGGCCTGGTCACCTCACCCTGACTAGTCCCCTGGGGACCAGCCACTTTGTTCTGCATCTTCCTGTGTGAGATGATCCCGGCAACAGGGAGGGGAGAGAGGGGCTTAGTTGATGTTTGATGACAAGCCTCGGTCTCAAGTTGTGTCAGTAGCTGTGGCTGCTGTTTCACCTCCCTCTGCAGCATGGCTGCTCCGGAGAACAACCCCTGCAAGCCGGCAGCTTGCTAGGCCAGCCTCGCAGCAGCTCTCATTAGTCTTTCAGCAGATAATCTTTCAGAAGTCACCTTCGGGGCAGAGTTGGAGGGCAAGGAGATTTTTCCATTGCTCCCCCACACCCGGCAGCAGCTTGGGTGGGGTTTTGTGGACAGGCGGCTCCAGAAACAATGACCCTGCTTTTCCAGCCATTGAGGGACAGGAATGTGTTACTGGGAATGTTAATGTCCCTCTAGCCCCTTCTCTCGCCTTGTGAAAGGGCCTCTTGCGAACTGTGGCCAATTGCTGGCATTACTATCATGGGTCTCATGCTTTCTCTTTTGGTGGGAGGGGGGTGGGTCCAGGGCACCTATTTCTTGCCCCTGAACTAGGGTATTAACTGCCCCCCCTAGTGTCCTAGAGTGGAGTGAGGGACCCAGGCTCACCCTCTACTCCAGGTCCCAGCCCAGGGGCCCTAGGGATAGTGGTAAACCACAAGAACTAACGGTTCCTTCCCCTGGGCTACTTCCCTCCCCTGCCCTTCAGCTTGTGGGGCTTCCTACCCTCCCTCTGTACAAACCAGGTGCCCCTTTACCTAGGGTCTTGGTCTTCTTAGCCCACAGCAGCAATTCTCCAAACTCTCCTCTGCTTCCCTCCAAACTGCTCTCTGCTCCAACACAAATCCACTCTGCTTCAACTCCTTCCCTTGTCTGATTGACGTGGGGGGGGATCAGGTGACTGGCTTCAGGTGCTTTAATTGGCTTCAGGTGCTTTAATTAATTTATAGCAAACTTTCTTCCCTCTACAGGGAATAAGGTGCCCTTCTAACACTCTCCTCCTGCCCTCTGGCCAGACTGTATCACAAAACCTAGCCTCTCCCTGGGCACCTTCTGGGACCCAGCTCCCCCTGGATCTAGGAACAGCCCAGAGGCACTCTACCCGTCAGAGCACTGTCCAGGGGAACCTAGAGCGAGAGATTCTGAGCTTAGCTCACCCCTACATCGCATGGGGCAGCAGCAGCATCTTAAGGGGATTCCAGCTTGTCCTGCTCGCCTCTCTGGGCTTCCAGCAGGATGGGGCAGCTTGAGGTTGCATCTACAATGTGCTGAGTCACACCCCCCCCCCCCCCCCCCCAGCTGTGCTTGTTACATCTACTTTCCTAGCCCACCTGAGGGTCCTCCAGCAGAGAAGAGGCTATGGCCCCCTTCCCCAGTTTTCTTCCAACTGATGCCCTGGGTGCTAGTGAATGGTCTCCATGTTATGCCTTGGTTTTAGTGCTGCTGCGCCCTGTCAAGCCACGTCCATTGAGTGAAGGGGATTCAACAGCTGCTCTAGACATCATGCCCCTTTGGAAATTCTCTGCGTATGAAGAGGTTACCCCCGGCTGGCAGAGAAGGCATTAAAATGGGCCATTCTACTCCCCCATTCCCCTCTCACCCACCCACCCCACCTCTCTTTCTCTCTTTTTCTCCCATCTGGATAACAAAGCCAAGAACTAGAAGAGCCTGGCCATGGATATCAGCCCTAGAGGTGAGCCATCCAGTTCAGGGTTAAGGGTGATCACAGGGCAGCATGGGGGAAGCTTATACTGGTGCTGCCCTTGCTGTACCTATTTGGGGAGCAAACAGATGTGAGTCTCCAGCAGTCTGTTAATCTGGCCCCTCTCCCTAGCAGTCAATCCCCCAGAACCCTTGTAAAGCCAAGGAAAATGCAAACCCCTGGG